CTTATTTTCCGGAGGATCGCGTCCAGACTGGCGCTTTTCTCCGGCTTATCTACAAGCCGGAAAAAAGCGGCAGCCATGTTAATGCAAATGCCGTGGGGGATATTTAAATCCCCCGCGGATTTGCCTATTCCAAAGTGCTACATTTGCATCCCTATTACGGAATAGGGGCCAATGTAGATGCAGCCTACGGCTTTATTTCAAAATAACCCCCCTTAAGTTGAATTAATAAGCGGAGGGTCCACACGACCATGTTATTTTGAAATAACGGGTCACTTATTTCGAAATCTGTACTCCTGCTTTCCTCAAGCAAAAACATTAATTTTGAAATAGTTCTTTTGAAATAGCGGTAGTGTGGATGCTGCACTGCTGCTATTTCGAAATAACGACTCCCCAGAGTAATTTGAACTAATTACTCCACTGTGCTTTGTGGGGCTTTAGGCCAAGGTAGTGTGTTCACATTAACAGAGCCTACCTCAGACTAATTTTCATACTTCCGCATAGTGTGGACATGCTAATTTGATTTTTTTATGTCGGGAGTTATTAAATCGATTTTAGTTTCTTCAAAAGAGTTTCCTAATGTAGACATGCCCTAAGTGACTGACAGAAGAAGATATGTGGCAGAACTAATTTCCTGAGTCCCAGTCCAGTGTCTTATCCATTAAACCTTCCTGCTTCTCACTAGCCTTCTTAAATTTTGCCTTTTTTAGACTGCTGCACCATTGAGATGTTCTTATGAAGTTCAGCCAACCAGCGAAAACTAGCCAGTTGGTTGTATTTGAATATTCGTCTGTACTGTTTTCATGAGAAGCAGAAAGTAAGACACTGGCTAGTCCATTTTTATGGCTTTAATTTAGCCAACTGGAAAAATACAAGCAAGCAGCATAAATCTAATCCCTCCACCTCCAGTGTTTTCTCCCTTGTAATAATGCTGGACTACTGGTGAGCATAGATGGGCCATTTTTGGAGCATGGTTTTTGAGCTGACAAAAATATCCATTAAGTAATTCTTTCCTCCAAATCTAATTCAAAATCAGTCTGTGGAGAGAAGAGACCAAATAATTTTTTTCAGAGTATCAAGCCCTAAGGGACACACAATGGACTATCCTTCTATTGTACAGCAACGTAGAAATCTCCCTGCCTGCGGTAATTTGCCTGCTGGGTATGTGTTGGCAAAGATGCTCCAGGTCATATATAAGGAAGTCTGAATTTTCAATTTAGCACCATCCAAAGCATTTAATCTGGAGGAGAAAGTGGTTCCTGTTTTCAACTGTTAATCACAAAAACAGATGCATGAACTGCAGTTTACCGTGGGAATAAGGCAAACAATTCTTATTCAAACATCTTTTATACAAGCCAACCAAAAAAAAAAAAAATCATAGCAGCAAATTATTCCCATTGTGTATGTAAACATGCACCTTTCCAACTTGCCTTCCATTACCTGTTGATGCTGTTTTTCTGTGCTAACATCTGCCAGTCTTTGCCTTTGGCATTAGGTGTGTCAAATGTTGCACATATTCTCTGTCTAATGGAGTATGGGATTTTGAAGGCTTTTGGACCCGTTTGTGCAGGGAAGTTGCCGTCCTCATGGGCAAACAAAGTGATGGTTTCTCGCTCATTCTAGACACAAGATAAAACAAAACAATTAACAAGTCAGTAGGTACCCTAGGTGCTTTTATACTGAGGCATGGACTTGGTCAAAGTTCAGTGGAAGTCCATGGTATTGTTGGGATGTAATTACAGAACAACTAATGTATAGCTTTAACCACTGGACCATTCCCCGTGTCATCACTGAATTATGCTCTAATTCAGGGGACTCCAACCTTTTTAAGCACGAGATCACTTTTTTAAATTGAAGTGCAATCCAAGATCTAGTTCGAACCCAAATACCCTTGCCCCGACTCCTTTTTTCCCCTTCTCCAAAGCCCCACCCCTGCTCACTCCATCCTCCCTCCCTTTCATCAGGCGGGGGCAGAGAGTTGGGGTGCAGGCTCTGGGCTTGGGTTAAGCGATTTGAAGTTTGAAGGGCTCTGAGCTGAGCCTGGGGCAGAAAGTTGGGGTGCAGGAAGGGGTTCAGGGTACAGGCTCTAATAGGGAGTTTGGGTCTGGGGGGCTCAGAGTTAGGGCAGGGGCCTCGGGTGCAGGAGAAGGTTTATAACAGGGGCAGGGATTCAGGATGCGGGCTCCAGCTGGACACTGCTTACCACAGGTGGTGCAGTGGGGCTAAGGCAAGCTCCCCCCTGCTCTGGTCCTGCAGCGCTCTCAGTTAGCCAACAAATTCACTCCATCCCAAGCCCTGTTGTGCCCCCTGTTCTGTGGAGATAGACTACAGGGTGGGAGAGAGGCACCCTGATATCAGTGCCCACTTCTCCCTCCCCTGCCCTGCCCAGCAATCAGGGGTGGAGTGGATAGCTCCAGGGCGAAGGGCAGGAGGTACACAGCAGTGGGGGGAAGGACAGCTGAAATGCCGGCATTTGATAGCCTCTTGGCCAAGCCAATGAAGGTCACCTGTCAGAGGCTCCAAGATCTACCAGTCAATCCCGATCTCCTGGTTGGTGCCCTCTGCTCTAATTAATTAGTAATAGCATCAGCATTCACACACACATACACACCTATACGTCCATGAAAAGAGCTGGGCATCTTGCTGTTGTGAAAGCTGTCATGTACCGAATGGAGGTATTGTTTCTTTTCTGGCTATGTTCATTGTCAGTGTGCCAAATTGAAGGACTTTAGGAGAAACAGTCAAACAGAATAACAGAAATGTAGAACTTGAAGGGGCCTCGAGAGGTCAGCTAGTCCAGTCCCACTGCGTGTTTAAACCCGTTTGCAGAGTTTGCTGACCTACTACATTTCAATTTGCCCTTTATTTGCTGCTCATGAACTTAAACGTTCAGGGCCTCTCTGCTGTACTGAGTACAGATTTTCAGACTTCTAGCTCTTTCAGTCTATCCTGTTCTTTTAGACAGCTGGCTTCTGCACGTAGCTAGCTATCTGATCCTTGAAGTAGCTAAGATTCACTTAATCTAGAAATGAATTTAGCTTCCTGGTGTGATGAAATATAACCTTTATTAGAAGACTTACTCAACATTGTCCAGGTCTGGGTCCAGCCCGGGACAGCGGGAGCCACATGGCCTGGGGCAGAGCTGGTCCCTGGGGCTGACCCAGAGCAGTGGGGGCTGCACGACCTGGTAGGCAGGGCCCTGGGCTGGCCCAGTCAATGGATGATCCCTGGGGCTGGGGTGCTTGCTGCCCCCTTGTGGTCATTCACGAGTATAACGACCCCATCTCTCACACCCTTCCCCTTCCCTTTGATGCAAACCAATTGCATTCCACACACATCCCTTTGTCTTGGCACAACCAACCCCTGAAGAGTTCTTGAACAAACAAACTCACAGGTGAACAAACAGACACACAGATGCACAAGCTCTCAACAATATATAGCAGAGGATGCACTTCTCACAGAAAAAAGGTCATCCAAGGATGATAAAAGAATAGCTCATGATTCTGGAGACCAATACACATAATCAAATAAGTACTCACTGCAAGTACTTTGCAAGTAATCCTGGGGAAAATTTGCTTTTATTACCAAATGCATAAAATTGTGATATTTGTGGCCCATAAACTAACAGGCAAAAAGTCTAAAGTGGGTGGATATTTTGTCATTCATATCTTGGCATAAGGACTACAGAATGTTGTTTACTAAATATAGAAGAAAGTAAATACTGAGGGATAATACTGAATTCTATCCGCCTAAGCCTTAACTCTATTTGCACCCATTTTAACCTTTCAAGAGGCAACACAGCTATGGGAGAATGAGATTCTATTCCACCTCTGGGATCATTCTCCAATTGGTTTTGATTGCAGGTTGTGGTGTTACTTGTGGAAATGTCAGTTTGGAGGCAGACAGACATTGGAGGCAGACCCAGAGACACCCACTCAAAGCAGCACCAGCCCCTGACAGAACAACAGATGCAAAATCCGCAGAAATAGCTCCACTTCTGCTCCCCAGAAACCTTTCAAGATCCGCGGACCCTACATTTGCCTGTCACAACATGTGGTGCACCTCACCCAGCCCCAAGGCCAATCATGTGGATGACATCAAACAATCAATCCCGCTCAACAATGAAATTACTTGGGGGAAATGATAAAGGACTAAACCATCCTGTCATCTGTGGGTGAACACTTTTCACAAAGTGATCACTCTATATTTATCCTGCTGTGCCCTCAAAGGAAACCTGCATGCCACTTTCAAAAGATAAGACTGAGAGCTTAAATTCATTACTCTGCAAGACACGAACCATGATGGACTAAGCACAGGCCTCAGATTTATGGCTTATTACAACAATCTGTAACCCGCTAATCTCCTCTTTGTCCTATGACCGGAGAGGTGTTAAGAAGCTCTTCTACCTTGAATGTGCTCTTACAATATAAGCTAAGTATTTATGCTAAACAATCTGTTCCAACGTGCATTTTCCCGAGATGCTGGGAATTTCTTTCCCAGACCCAAAGAAGAGTTCTCTGTGGCTCAGATGTTTGTTCAATAAAAGATATTACTTCTCCCACCTTGTCTTTCTAATATCCTGGGACTGACACAGATACACTGCATACCTTAAACTCAGTATTCCCACTTGTAAACAGAGGAAATATGATCTGGAATTAAACATGGATAAAGCAATGCAAAATGTTCTGGCTTAATTTGCATTTCAACATGGCAGAGGGAAGAGGACACCAGCTTTCCATTTTCATCTCTCCTCGATGCATGAGACTTTAAGGAGCACAGAGAAACTGCCTTGTAGACATCTGAATTAAAGGCCCCATTGGATGCTACTGAAGTATAAATATTAAATTATAGTGATGTTAGCAGTATCTACATATAACATTTATGACACATCCTGAAAGGCCTCCATGCAAAGTAATAGGATTGCTGTAGATACATCACCTTTTCTGATTGTTTAAATTAAATATGCAGAAGAACAGTAGATTTTCATGCCCTGCACTTCTGAGATAAGCCACTGCTATCTGGCTAGCTATGGGAATTAGAAAGCAATGAGAAGTTCAAGTTTTCAGTCTACTACTTTTTTTTCCCCTTTACTTTTTAAGTCAAATTATCCTCATCCTTCCATCATCTTTGGGGACAGAATAAGAAAATTTGCCCTACCAGTAGATCTTCATAGCTTTTGATACAGCCTCCCAAAATATTCTTGCTAGCAAGTTAAGGAAGTATGGATTGGATAAATGGACTGTAAGGTGGATAGAAAGATGACTGGATCGTTGGGCCCAACGGGCAGTGATCAATGGCTCGATGTCTGGTTGATGCTCAGTTTCAAGCAGAATGCCCCAAGGATCGGTTCTAGGGCCGGTTTTGTTCAACATCTTTATTAATGACCTGAATGAGGGGATGGATTGCACCCTCAGCAAGTTTGTGGATAACACTAAGCTAGGGGAAGAGGTAGATACATTTGAGGGAGGGAGAGGGTCCAGTGGGATCTACACAGATTAGAGGATAGGGTCAAAAGAAATCATCTACACAAATTAGAGGATAGGGCCAAAAGAAATCTGATGAGGTTCAACAAGGATAAGTGGATGCTACTGAAGTATAAATATTAAATTATAGTGATGTTAGCAGTATCTACATATAACATTTATGACACATCCTGAAAGGCCTCCATGCAAAGTAATAGGATTGCTGTAGATACATCACCTTTTCTGATTGTTTAAACTAAATATGCAGAAGAACAGTAGATTTTCATGCCCGTAATGGGAGGTTTCACATTACAAGCCTATTTTCTCAGCTTACTCAGGAGAAACTGGTCCATTCTCAGTCTGATCACATGCTCCTGACTAATGCGAATTGAGTGCTGTGCTGTTGTCAGATGTTTTTTAAAAAAACAATTAGTCCTGAAGGTGATGATCTGTAAGACTCTGGATGCCCAAAATAAAAATCCAGCCTTGGATCAAGTAATCGAGTTAACACAGTAAGGCCACAAACCTGCAATGAGCTTTGCATGGGTACAGCAGTCTGTTTGCAAGGACCTCCTGCAGAGTCAGGATCCATCTGTTCAGATCTGCCTTCTGAGAACCATATTTTATAGTTAGAGTTAGAATTAAGGTGGCGGGGTAGGATAACCTTATGTCTAAAGCACATATCTGTCCATGCCTCATCTGCAGAGCACAAAATAAAGTGCCTTACCTCTTTCACCTCTGTACTTGCGAATACCTTCAAGATGCTTGTTATTTGCCTCTGGCCAATCTGGCATCGCTACTATAAATTATCTGTGTGTGCTATTATTACTTATTGTTGTGGTGTTCCTATTGACCCCCTCTGCCTTCTCTTCACTACGAGGAAGATCAAAGTTGCTGCATCGATCTTCCGGAGTTTGATTTAACAAGTCTAGTTAAGACTCACTAAATTGAACTCAGATGGCACCCCCCCCCCAGTGACCGGTGGTATTCCTGCTCTTGCAAGGAGTCAGGGATGGGACCCCCCCCAGTGACCGGTGGTATTCCTGCTCTTGCAAGGAGTCAGGGAAGCTGATGGGAATGTTTACTCCCTTCGGCCTCCTACTGTGGGGATGTCGCCAAGCTCAGCTAATGTAAGCCGACTCCAGTGATTTATTCTACATTGCTGGAGTTGTGTACCCTTAAGATGAGCTTCTGGGTCTAATGTATACCTGGTCTTAGCTCTTTAACCCTTCCTCCGCATAATGCCTTTAGTTATATACTTTTGCACATGCATGTCGTACCTTTTTTGCCCAGAACTCTGCTTTTCTTAGGTAGTCCTACTATGCACAGTCTTCCAAGTTCTTTTACTTAGCTTGTGAGCAAATATTCAGGTTTCAGCAAATGTTCAGGCAGAGTTTTCCCATTAAGAATTGAGATTCTTTAATGGCAGGGAAACCCTCGGTTCAATGACTGGTGTGAGTATGTACAGAAACAAAGTAGTTCTTATACCATACACTCTGCATCACTGTCGTCTCCTCTACTGGGAAATGGAGCTCCAGAGCAGCACGGGAAATACAAGCTGCAGAAATCAAGGTAGCACTATTCTACATAGGGTAAACTGAGGCAGAGTTGTGGGGTGGTCTCCAATGTTATTCAGCAGCTTAGTGACAGATTAGGGAACAGAAGCCGATGAAGAAGTTACCTCTAGAATAGATGTCTGGATCTGTAGGATCTGCTCATGGCCCTTGACTTGCCGAACACAGATCTTGCAGGACAGTTGTGTGGTTGCGGGAGTGTAACGCTCCAGTGAAAAGGCACAGTGCAACGGCTGTTGGCTGCTACACCACACACGAGAGAAAGGAACCTCCTTTGGAAGGAATGCGTCCCAGAGACACGGCGAGGAGAAGAAAGAAAGGGGGAAAAAAGAGAGAGAAAAGCTGTGACAACAGCAAAGCAGGAGAAAAACATAATTATTATGTACACGATTTTTGCTGGAATTGCTTTTGTAATAATGTCCCAGTAAATGTCGAATAGCACAAAACTAATTAACGTCAATTCCAATTGAAAACGGCAATGTTAAAATTACCACAAGCTTAAATTTCACTCTGCCACATGGACGATGCAAGAAAATTCACTTTTTTTTTTTTTTTTTTAAGAAATGTATTTCGCTCAGAGGAATGTTTTATTTATTACCCCCTCAGACTCAAGAATTCCAAATTCTTTCCCCACCTTGTAGCTCTGTAACTTTCACACTAAGTATTACAGAATCCTTTAGACTGGAGATAGACTAGACCCCTTAGGTCAACCAATGTCCCATGAACCATTTGCAGGATCTGTCCCTTCAGCACGTTTATCCGGTGCCTTCGTAAGTCCCTTTTTGAATCTGAGTGATGGGGGTTCAGTCACTTCCCTTAACAGACTTGCAACAACACATTACACCTCACAGTTAGGATAAAGGTAAAAGGAAGAGAGGCTGATTGCTCTGGCTACCTGGATTTCCCATGAAGATGAGGATCTGGAAGTACTCAGGAGAGCATATAAGAACATAAGAATGCCCCTATTGGATCAGATCATTTGTCCATCTAGCCCAGTCTCCTGTCTTCTGACAGTGGCCAAAACCAAATGCCCCAGAGGGGGGGAATACAACATGTAATCCTTACATGATCCCTCCCTGTCACCTACCTCCAGAGAAACAGAGGCTAGGGACACCATTCCTACCCATCCTGGCTAATAGCCATTGATGGACCTAACCTCCATGAATTTATCTAGCTCTTTTTTGAGCCCTGTTAAAGTCCTAGCCTTCACCACATCCTCTGGCAAGGAGTTCCACAGGTTGACTGTGCGGTGAGTGAAGAAAAACTTCCTTCTATTTGTGTTAAACCTACTGCCTATAAGTTTCATATGCTCAACAGGGGGCAATTAATTTTCTTATGATCCCTTTCATGACTTTCAGTGTCTTGCAAGGTAACATGTTTCAGAGGGGTCGCCATGTTAGTCTGTTTCAACAAGAACAACGAGGGGTTCCGTAGCACTTTAAAGATTAAAACACTTATTAAGCATAAGCTTTCATGGGCTGGAACCCACTTGTCAGAGACAGGATGTAGAAACTTCAGTTTGGCAGGTAAAAATCCACCGGCAAAGATGGGTGTTTTATATTACTATGGTGAAGACCAGCGTGAAGGAAGTCAATTCAACCAGGCCCCCCTCCAAACAGAGATGTGAATAGCAAAAGAGGGGAAATTACTTTTTGTTGTGAGCTGGCAGCTCCCTGCCTCCTTCATACCCAGTCTGATAGAGTCAAGTTTGCACGTGAATTACAGCTCTGCAGTTTCAGGCTGAACCCCATTGCTAAATCAGACCATCTAGCCACTGAAGTGACACTATGACAGGACCTAATTGCATCCTCCGCACCATCAAGGGCTTGTTCTTCTGAACATCAATCTACAGAATCATAGAATACTAGGACTGGAAGGGACCTCAAGAGGCCGTCGAGTCCAGTCCACTACCCTCATGACAGGACCCAGTACTATCTAAACCATCCCTGGTAGACATCTATCAACCTACTCTTAAATATCTCCAGAGATGGAGATTCCACAACCTCCCTGGGCAATTTATTCCAGTGTTTCACCACCCTGACAGTTAGGAACTTTTTCATAATGTCCAACCTAAACCTCCCTTGCTGCAGTTTAAGCCCATTGCTTCTTGTCCTGTCCTCAGAGGCCAAGGTGAACAAGTTTTCTCCCTCCTCCATATGACACCCTTTTAGATCCCTGAAAACACAAACCCAATTCCTTCAGCCTTCCCTCATAGCTCATGTTCTCTAGACCTTTAATCATTCTCAATGCTCTTCTCTGGACCCTCTCCAATTTCTCCACATCTTTCTTGAAATGTGGTGCCCAGAACTGGACATAATACTCCAACTGAGGCCTAACCAGCACAGAGTAGAGCGGAAGAATGACTTCTCGTGTCTTGCTCACAACAC